AAGGGTGGTTTTGTAAAACATGCCTACTAACAGTTCAGTTTCGCTTTCTCTGGTCTGTTGTTCCTGGATGGAACTATTCCTAGTCAAACTGCTTCGCGCGTGCGTACGTACCGTGAAGAGGAAGTTGTAGCCGAGCTCGAGGATCCTCTGCTGCAGCCGGACCTTGCTCCAGACCAGGTCGATGTAGTCCTTGCTCATGAACACCTTCTCGCCGGAGAGGTTGCGCGCGGCGGCCGCGGGGAGGAGGTAGCAGTGCGGGTGCACGGCGCGGCAGTGCTCCAGCGCGCCGCCGTCGAGGGCCACCACCAGGAGGTGGTCCACGAAGTGCGCGATCCGCTCGCCGCTGCGGAAGCTCTCCAGGAACAGGTCCATCAGCGAGTCCTGCGCCGCCCACGCCTCGTTCACCGACGTCATGATCACCGTCCGGTCCTCGTCCGCCACCGCGCGCAGCAGCCGTTCTAGCTCGTCCTCCTGCTCCGCCGCCGCCGCCGTGCCCTGCTGCACGCATGATCGAGCCGGACAGGAAGAACAACAGACGGTGTCAGGAAACTGAAATCGAGCAAAGACTGCAGCTTGGCGATCGGAATTTTGGAACCGGCTGGGATATGATGTTTAAGAATTAACCTTTGAGTCGGCGTGAGCAGGAGCAGCAGGTACTCTTGCCAAGGTAGCAGGAGCCTCCTGGACGGGAGCATCGTCGAAGCCCGTGGTTCCATTGGCCCAGGTCGATATTCCCGTGAACCGGCCTCCGCTCGTCGCGGTCGTCAGGAAGAAGACCAGGACGGCGGCGGCGGACGCCCCGAGGATGAAGGACACGAGCTGGTGAAGCGCGTTCTGCTGGCTGCCCATCTCGGAACACCGCTGCTGCCAACAACGCCGGTCGCCTGAAGCTGCAGCCTGCAGGGCCAGAAGCCAAGAACAGAGACGAGGCGATCGAGGAGGAGTGTCGTAGAGGGGAACTCTGCCTGCCTGGTCTAGACTTAACTCTTTAGCTCGTTTTCGTTCCCCTTTTAAAAATCCAGTGTAAGAGAAACTTGACAGTTTGGTGTTTACTACTAGGGTGTTGATCCTGTCAAAGGAGGTGACATTAGCCGACGACGACGAGACCGGTTCTGGTGTGCTACACCTACACTCCACGCGGTGAAATGTACTAGGAATCAGGACATCGATCGATGTGTTGTTATGTTTCACTGTCTATACATGTGCATTTCCAACGCTCATGTGGAGAGTCAAACGTGTCTCGACAATCATGGAAACGTTCTGTGCTCTTCAGTAATCTAATCTGAGCCTGGGAACTGTTGGTCCATGTGCATCAGAAACTTCGTACTGGGTGATTGTATGACGTCCTGTGCTCAGCATGCTGCAGCTGTAGTGTGTACTACTGCACATTTTCTGGAATGGTAGAGTAATAAATAGTGCAGATTAGATCTCCTTGTGGCCGTTTGACACCTCAGTTGCCTGTACTAATAAACGCTCTGTGGCCATGACTAAACTATTGCCTCCTCTAATGCAATCTTGTTCAATGCTTCACGGCACCATGCGTGTGTATGATGTCGATATCGATCCACTGGTGATTCATTACTAGTATTTTCAGTGGCGTTCGCTAACAACTCCTTGGTCGTACAGATTTCACGTGGCACATCCCGTGCTGAGCTGAGTTAAGTTACCTTGTTCGTTTGGCTACTGATAAAGCTCTGATCGAAAATTATTATTTATTGATTTTCGTGAAAGAAAAATACTATTTATTGGCTGAAAAAGTATGGTTTATAAGCCAAGTAAATAGGACGGTTATCTATATCTCAAAATAGGAGTCTGCATATACCGGGGCGATCGAGCTACTTCCTTCTTCCCTGTGTCGTTGTGTCAATAGGAGTATAAATTATTCATTGATTCTGTCAAACTGAGATGGCGCCGTGTGTTGACCGAAATGTTGGTGAACTATACTAACCTTCCAGGGCGATGGCGATCTCTTTTTTCCGCCTCGCGGATCACTGAACATGGAAAGTAGCGGTACAAAGTCGTGATTGACTGCTCCCGGATCCCGACGGGTGAAAAGGCAGTATTGTTTGGTTTGCCTCGATTTTACCTGGCATCGCCTCGGTTCAGTGGTTCTGAACTTCTGATTTCGTGAAAAAACGAAGACCGTCGGGAGGGGGATTTTGCCGATGAACCGGGCTCCTTCCTGAACCTGACTGAAATCTACTAGCCAACTAAGGCCCGGCCCACGAAGGGGTGCTAAGGCCAGGATTTCGGCCGGGTGAATGACAAGTGCGAGGGCCGAGGGCGATTACTTTTGTTGTCACCCCTAAACTGGACCACGCGGCCCACTACTGCAAACAAGTGCTTCAAACCGTGTGTTTAGTTTGAGAAATTGGTTGGTCCATATTCTTCTTATCACTCTTATGTTCTGTTTATTTATCATTTGTAGAATATAATGTACTTCATCTGTCCTAAAAACTTTTTTTTTTCGTGACCGTACATTGAGGGTCTGAGGGACGTTTTTCATTAAGAGCAAGTAGAGTTTAAAAAGATACAAATGACCCACAAGTAATTCTAGAATTACAACAGCGGTTCCAACGACACAACGAGCAGCAAGAGAAAAACAGACCCTCGTTGATCGAACTTGTGAAGCTTGACTTTTCCAATTCCTAGTAGGTTTTATATAACTGACCAAGAAGCTTACTTTGCTTGCTTACGTGCAGAACTGAAGAGCAGTGGATCCTTAACTTTTCACATGCGGCACTAGTTACTTTTTTATTTTTATTTATTGTTAATAACAAAAAAAAAGAATATACTCATTCATTTTGTTGTGTGGTTATGTAGACTATCCATGGCTTGGAGATTTATTTATCGACCATGTCATACATTTTAATTCGTCTAGGATTTAAAGTCCATAGTCCGTATTTCGTCTAGACACATGGTGCTCTAATTCGTATGGTACGAGAGATTTAAAGATTTATCAATGATTATGTCATGGTTTCAATTCGTTTTGGGATATAGAGTCTCTATATCATGCATCAACACTTAACTTGTACGGAATATAGCAGAGGGGCGGACCATGAAAACCCTTCATATTATGATTCGTTTTGGAATTGGATTGAGCACTGTGTTTGAAAACACTTCTATAGGATCTTCATTGGATGATTGTCAGATTGTGAGCCATGAAGGACATTCACTCGAGTGGGGAAGGAAGGAGAAGGATTGATATCGGTTTTTTTTTGTGACAAGAATTGATATCGTTAGGACAGCTGGTAAAAGCGACAAAATTCGAAATAAGTGGTGCAAGATCATCCGAGCGCCCCGTGCCACTGACCACTAGTTCTCCCCCAATGATGACTCTGTCTCAATGCAGAAGGGCCCCACAGGCCGTCCACATCAGCAAAGGCCCTTTCGGGTTGAGCTGCGCTGCCGTGGAGGGAAGGAAGGAGAATGGATTGCCGCCGGGTTTGTCGTGACAAGAATTGATATCGTTCGCGGGACAGCTGGTAAAAGCGCCAAAATTCGAAATAAGTGGGCTCTTCTGGCAGTGGACGGCCCATCCGTCGCCTTTCTCTCAGCTAGTTCTCCCCGATGTCGCCCTGCTGTCGCCAATGCTGCTGGGCCCCACAGGCCGGGGACATCAGTCAAGGACCGGGGACTGGCTGAGTTGCGCTGCCGTGTGCTGGGCCACGGCAGTCCGGGTGGCAGTGCCGTCCTAGGCAAGAAGCAAGTGGATCTTACCCGTTTTACCCTTCAAGAATCTTGATTCTGTACTCCTGGTAAAGCACGGTAGATTGCATATTAACCTTGCGATTCTTCTTCACCAAGAAACACGGCCACACCTGCTCAGTGGACGGCCCATCTAAACACGTCGCAGGGCTTTTGTCGGAATCAGCTGAGGTCCACGATGTCGCCCTGCTGCAGTGCGCCAGTGCTGCTGCTCCCGATCGGCGCTAAAAACCGGGGGACGGCCGCGAACGGGGACTGGCTGGTGAGTTTTGAGTTTTCTAAAATTGCGCCTATGTGCTGCGACCTTATCTAGTCCGGGGATTATTGGGCAAATACCACGGTTGTCCTAGGCAAGAAGAAAAGTGGATCTTAGGCCCCGTTTAGCTCTGCAGAAGGCATCAACAAAATTTTTTCATGAATTTTTTCGTCGTCAAATCAAATCTTAGCTATAGCCTTGTTATGCACTACTGCTCTAGGCTCCACCGGCTCCATGCCTCCAAATCCCTACGGTTCTGCGAGTTTGCATTTACCAAAAGAACTTCGCGACATGGTTAATGGTGAGCAGGTTAAGATTAAATTAGGCATCTATGATCTGTCAATGTGAAGATTCATAAATATATGAAGCTTCGTGTTTCGTGTTAGAGTATATTAGTTATTAGGCATCTCTTTTCACCGATTTGATTAATTTAGGGTTGATTTCTAAGTTTTCGACGACATGGCTAAAGTAGTAACAAGATGAGCTGCATTTTTATCGGTTATCATGCACTTTTGTTTTGAATCTAAAAACTTGTGCAATTACCCTTCAAGAATCTTGATCATCTGTCAATTATTCCTTATAGCAAAAAAAAAAAATATATATATATATATATATATATTCAAAGTAACTCTGGCGATTCAATTTTCTTCGAACCAATTAAACGGCGGTGCCACACCTGCTAAACGATTAAACAGTACTCCTAAAACACGACAGGGCGATCTTTGTACCGAATCCACTCTCCGTGCCTACAAAGCGGAGCACGTTCTTCGTGTTCCCTAAGCCAAGAAGGTGGGGCTATAAAGGTAATTTGCCCGCGCATCTCCTTCCCCCGCGTTCGGAAACACCCCCCTCGAGGCCTCTCGATTTGAAATCCCCACCTCAATCAAAACCGGAAAAAAAAATAGGAGAGGGAAAAAAAAAAAGAAGAGCTCTCGATCTGGGGATCCCCTTCCCGGCTTCTCGTTCCCTCCTCCTCCTCGTGCAAAACCCTAGGCCAGCCTAGCGGCTGAGCCCGCGCGCCCCCCGCCCCGGGACCATGGCCGAAGACCACTTCTCCTCCGCGGCGTCCGCCCCGTCGGCGGCGGCGACCGCGGCGGCCGCGGCGGCGGCGGCGGTCGGGTCCTCGGTGATCCCGATCGTCAACAAGCTGCAGGACATCTTTGCGCAGCTGGGAAGCAGCTCCACGATCGACCTGCCGCAGGTGGCCGTGGTCGGGAGCCAGAGCAGCGGCAAGTCCAGCGTCCTCGAGGCGCTCGTCGGCCGCGACTTCCTCCCGCGGGGCTCCGACATCTGCACGCGCCGCCCCCTCGTGCTCCAGCTCGTGCACCAGCCGCGCCGGCCCGCCGACGCCGAGGCCGATGAGTGGGGCGAGTTCCTGCACCTCTCGGGGCGTCGCTTCTACGACTTCCGCGAAATTCGACGCGAGATCCAGGTCCCCATCCCTTTGCCTCATTCCCTCGTGCGGTGATTGGGCCAGAATAACAGTTGGTTTGGCTGTCCGTATACATTCAATGGATAATTATTATTGGTCGGGATTTTAGTGTTAGTAGTAATATTGTGCTGTGGCTGCTCGCTAGGGTTACAGATGACTGTTTAGGAATACTCCTGTTGGTTTCGAGGAATCATTCTTCGTGGTGGTTTCTGATGTGTTCATGGGTCAACACAGTTTGTTACTATCTCAGTTCATGACATGCTTTTGGATTGTGAGGTTGGGCTCTGAGATTGCAGCGATGGTAAATGCTGGGTCAGGTGGTGTCGTCTCAGGTGTTCAGTGCTAGTGCGGACATTATTTTGTTGCTGCTTCCTGTGGTGACGCTGTGGCTGTTACACATTACAGAATGCCATAAATTTACTTGGTTGTCTTCAGGTTGGCCCTTGCAGGTTTATTGTTGGCTAGATGAGTTAGCAAGTTGCTTGGATGTTGAAATTCTATATGGGCTATCGCGTAGTTTCTTGTGAACACAGCGGTTTCGATGCTATCCCCAATACAATTTGGTTACCTTTCAAAAACACCAATTTGGTTGCTATTAGTGGTTGTCAGGATGATTTGTGGAGAGCATATTTGTGAACCAGAATTTTGAAGTGGAAAAGTAAGGTGTACATAAGTTTTAGTTGGGACCCAGTGTCCCAATATTTGATAGAGCAACAATATTATCTGTCTGAGTGTTTGGTATTTTGTTTCACTTCAATTATGATGTTTTGTTTAGTTAGTGTGGGCTTGAGTTGTGATTAGTGCTCCACAGACCATTGTTAAAATATTCTCTGCATCTATGCAGGCAGAAACAGACCGAGAGGCAGGTGGTAACAAAGGTGTCTCGGATAGGCAGATACGATTGAAGATTTTTTCTCCAAATGTTCTTAACATTACTTTGGTCGATTTGCCTGGAATCACTAAGGTGCCAGTTGGTGACCAGCCAACTGATATTGAAGCCAGAATAAGGACTATGATAATGTCATACATCAGGCACAAGACATGTATCATCTTAGCTGTTTCGCCAGCAAATGCAGATTTAGCAAACTCTGATGCTCTTCAGATGGCTCGGGTTGCTGATCCTGATGGTGTGTGTGCCCTGCATAATCTATGTCCTGTCCACAAGAACATTTCAGTTCAGAATTGTTGTCTTATCACGATGATTTATTATTCTTGTAGGTTCTCGAACGATTGGTGTTATCACAAAGGTTTGTTCCTGCGCCTTAATTTCTAAGCTACATTCTGGTCATTCTATCTCTCCTGTGCCACTCTTTGCAGTCTTGTATGATGTTCTGTTTCTTCCAGTTGGACATAATGGACAGGGGCACTGATGCCCGGAACTTTCTGCTGGGAAATGTGATCCCCTTAAAACTTGGCTATGTTGGTGTCGTTAACCGCAGCCAGCAGGTACTTTTTTCTCTATCTTGGTTAAGGTTATTGGTTCGCACAAGTTTGTCATTAACAATTATAGTGTTTCCATCTTGTTGAGATAATTCATTTGTGGTATAAATATAAATTTGTTGTTCAAGTGGTTCATAACTTGTATAATTGTGACATTCAGGTGACAGCTTGTTGCATTGCTGCCTCTTGGCTGCTGATGTAGAGCAAACTAGTGATAGGTTTATTAAACTATCAGAGAACTCCGTATATTTGGTTAAATCAGATGAACAATCATTATCTGCTTTAATAATAAAACACATGCATTTCTTTGGTTTGCAAAAGGTTTTTATTTAACCTAATCTATATCTTTTTAATAATGCAGGATATCAACTCTGACCTCAGTATCAAGGATGCTCTGGCCCGTGAAGAAAAATTCTTCCGTACTCAGCCGGTATGTAGATCTAAACTTTTGTTTCTTTTATTTTTTTCCATATTCCTTTTCCACAATAATGGAATTTCTTTTCTCCCCTTAGGCATATCATGGTCTTGCTCAGTACTGTGGGATACCACAGTTAGCAAAGAAGCTAAATCAGGTATGGTTGTGACTGACATGTCCATTGTAATCCAGGTTATAGATGTTATGATTTGAACTAATCCATTTATATGTTTTCAGATTCTGGTCCAACATATAAAAACAGTTCTGCCGGGGCTTAAGTCACGCATAAGCAGTCAATTGACTGCTGTTGCTAAGGAGCTTGCTGTGTATGGTGATCCTGTTGATTCAAAGGTCTGTCTTGCATTACTTTTCTTTTGGATAATAAAGCTAGAACCTGACTCTTTCTATTTGATGCGTGTTAAAGCCAGGTTCATCATTATTCTTATTCTTTTTTTTTTCCTTCTGATGGTCCATCTATATGTTTCATGGTTGCAGGCTGGTCAAGGTGCTAAGCTCTTGAACATACTAGCTAAATACTGTGAAGGTAAATACTGAACCATGGCACTTTTGCTAAGGAAACTATATGTATGCCCCTATAATAGCTAGAATTGCCTATTATTTCCTGTGTTGTGCCTTTATATTTTAAAATTAAATAACCTATGTATACTGTAGCTTTCTCCTCCATGGTGGAAGGAAAAATGAAGATATATCGACAATTGAACTTTCTGGTGGAGCGAGGATCCATTACATTTTCCAGTCTATCTTTGTCAAAAGTTTAGAGGTGCGTAACTGTGCAGTGGTTTTCATCATTATGATAAGTGTTATCATGAGTCTATAAAATATATGTGTTCACAGGAGGTTGATCCTTGCGAGGATGTTACAGATGAAGATATCCGCATGGCTATTCAAAATGCAACTGGTCCTAGAAGTGCTCTGTTTGTACCAGAAGTAAGACGCACCTGCCTCTTATTGCGTGCATTATTGAGGCACATAGAAATTATTGTAGGTACATTTAGCTGACAATTCTTTGCTAACAATCGCTTAAAGGTTCCATTTGAAGTCCTTGTACGTAGGCAGATCAGCAGATTGCTTGATCCAAGTCTTCAGTGTGCACAGTTCATATATGATGAACTTGTGAAGGTATATACTCCATTATTTTTTGGCCTTTCTCGAGAAGTCTGTCAGTCTGTCTTGGAGTACAGAACTTACACATCATTTCTTAACTTAATGTATCTAGATGCTGTGAAAATTCCCAATAATGGGCCATGCCAGCTGTAAATTGTAGGGAACTGAAATCTGTGCTTGTTTGATCACTTTATCTACAACATTATGTAACTTATTGCCACACTATTTCTATTGCTATTTCTCATGACTTCACACTTTTGCTGTGCAGATGAGCCATTGCTGCCTTGCAACGGAGTTGCAGCAGTTTCCTATACTCCGCAGAAGCATGGATGAAGTCATTGGGAAGTTTTTGCGGGATGGACTTAAGCCAGCAGAAAGTATGATAGCACACATTATTGAGATGGAGGTACACCCCCTCTTTCTTTGTGGTTCTTAACTTATTATTTTCCTGGTAGCTGTTTGACATCTGAACTTGCTTACCGATCCCTGATCCGAAGTTCCAAACCTACCGAGCTAATCATGAACACATCAAAATTTGTGACTAATTTAAGAATAGGGGCAAATCTGTGTGATTTCAACTATTCTAATGTCCTGTTTGAATGAGAGGGAGGGATTGGTGTAGGAACTTTTGGGATTTAGTTTAGTTTTGTAACCTCCTTTTCAAATCGACTATAAGTTTATTTAGTCATCTGTATGATTGTTTGCGTGCATTGACCTTTCTTGTTTTCCTTATTCATTCACTTAGCAACAATGTTAATTGTGCAGGAAGATTACATAAACACATCACACCCAAATTTTATTGGTGGCAGCAAGGCTGTTGAGCAAGCACAGCAGCAAGTTAGGTCTGCCAAAATGTCGGCAGCAGTGGTAAGAAAGGTATGCATGATTATGTCTACTGTTGTAACAAATATTTCTTATGGCAATGAATGTGATCTGATGGTAGAATGCGTCCTGGCTGGATTTATTTACCTCACATTTTGGCGTCTATGACTCTTCTTTTAAACATTTTTGGAATGGTTCATGCAAATGAGGACAAGGATAGTCTCTTGTGCTTGAAATCATAATGGACATATATATACTGATGTCTATGATTTTAACCTTTGGGATTTGTTTGGGCAATGACTAAGCAAACTCTATTAGTAGGGCCATGCTAGAACTTGTGATGCTATAACAGTAGGAGGAATTGGAATTATGACTACTTGCAGTTTCTTGTTTATTGGGTACGCCAACTGTTTATCTTTGGGATGCTTCCAGCAAGTTGTATTACTTGTATGAACATTTTGATCCTCTTAGTCTGCTATTACTTGTTTAACATGTAAGTTTGGCATTTTATTTTGCGGGCAAAATAGTTCTTCTCACATAGTTTGCAAGTTAATTCAGTCCACATCTTACCGATTATTCACAAGTATGAAGTATATGTAATAATATTGAATCGCAGGATGGAGTGGATGCACAGGCTTCTGAGAAAACTCAAAAATCACGCGCGATATTGGGTAGAAGTGGTGTAAATGGAGTAGTTACTGACCACATCCAGGTTTTTCTCATCACCATTTTTAGTGATTGGATGTCCATTTGGTGGAATTTTTGGGCACTCGTATCATGACTTACCCTTCCTCTGCTTTTTTGTTGTACATTGTTTACCAGGGGGTACGGCCTGCTGCTGAGGCAGAGAGACCAGGATCTTCTGGTAAGGAATTTTACTGCAAATGCAAGCGTAACAGTATATATTTAAACATTAGAGAATTTCATTTATAAGATTTTTCCATCGTTGAGTTTTGTTTTTTGTTATGATCCCTGTGCATTTTTACCCATCTGATGTTTTTGAAACCACATGTAAGTCCAATTACCTGATACTACTTCTGTTTTTAAATATACGACGTTTAGGACAAGGTAATAAGTTCAAAACTCATTAGCTTGCCCAAACATAAAAATGGAGGTTGTGTCTTTTATCGGCTTTGTGTTTATCAAACAATGTATCTCAGTCCAATTGTCTTGTGTCTTTTTTGGCCTAGTGTTTCTGAAACCATGCATCTCAGTCCAATAAACTGATATTTTTAGGTAGTGGAAGTACATCTTTCTGGAATCAAATATTTACTTCCAATGAGGACAAAACACATTCTCCTGCAAGGGATAACACAGCAAACAAATCTTATGCTGTGCCTGCACCCAATCTGGAACATTCACTCTCCACGATACAATTAAGAGAGGTGAGGTATCTTATCAATTTTCTCATTAATGTGATTTAGATGCAGTGAGTGTTTGACGTAGACCCATGTTGAACAGCCACCAGTCGTCCTGAAGCCTTCAGAACACCAGTCTGAGCAGGAGGCACTTGAAATAGCGATCACAAAGTTACTATTGAAGTCATATTACAATATTGTCAGGAAAAATGTGGAGGACTTCATACCAAAAGCAATTATGCATTTCCTGGTACGTGATTCTTATCCAATTGTCCTTTCTGTGCGCATTCCATTTCTGTATGCAATCCTTGTGCTATTTTTAATTGCATGGTAGGCTTGGATGTCAGTGCTAAACTACTAATGAACATTGGATTTACCATTCTTTTGCCCTCAACTACTATCACATTCCTACAGCACTGCATTAAGCAAGCACCACTATTTTTTCTGGATTGATCGTGCAACCATTTATATCAATTCTTCTTTCTTCAATCAATTGGCTTCTTCATCAGTGCTAAAATTGCATTCTAGCGAGCAGACTTGCTCAAATAAGTTCCAGCTTTCTTCAAGAAAGAAAGTTGAGGGATGGATTTGTTAGACCGCTTGCCACTCTAACCTTTTATTGACTCAGCTTTATATGTCTGCAGCGGGTTAGCTGAACAGACTGTCTTGTAAATCTACGTCCTTTTCATTCCACACATCTGTGACATTGATTCTGTTGCAGGTTAATCACACAAAAAGGGCGCTGCATAATTACCTTATAACAAAACTTTATAGGTGAGAATACTTATTTACTCTTGTTTAGAACATACCCTATTCCATGTAAGCAAAAGATAATTTATGCACTGTTTGATAACTTTGCTTCAAACTCTTAAATATAATTGCCCAATCCAGAGATGATCTTTTGGAAGACTTGCTCAAAGAACCTGATGAGATAACCATAAAGAGGAAGCAGATACGTGAAAATCTTAAGGTCCTTCAACAAGCTTATAAAGTAAGTTTTCGCAGTTCTTTAGTTCCTCCATTCAGAAGTCTTGGCACCACTTGATCTCCACCAACCTCACGTTTCTTCTGCACCATGCAGACTTTGGACGAGATACCACTTGACGCAGAGGCAGTAGAGAGGGGTGGATACTCCCTCGATTCTGATGCGATTGGTCTACCAAGGGCCCATGGGCTTTCTTCATCCCTCCACGTATTCAATGATGGAAGCTCACCATATTCAACCCCAAAGCAGTCAAGGTCAAGGAGGTCAAACCATTCTGGCGAGCAGCCCCCTTTCAACCCCAATATGAGTGGCAATGGTTTTTGATGCCACCCTACACGACGGCCACCCAGATTGGTTATGGAACCAACCAAATGTGCAGCAAGCACACCTTATTCTGCTTCAAGTTTGTTGGCACCCATAGATATATGTTATTTCTAGTTAAATTCTTTGTAGCGCTGCGCCGATGAAGCCTGACATGGTGCGAGTTTTGTCATTTCGCCTTTTGTACAGTATATATCTTTGCCCAGTCATTTCGTCTTGAAATGGTATCAAGTGATGGGGTATAGTTTTGTTCGGACCCAGGGAAAGCAATTAAAAAAATCTGCTAGGTGTACTAGTGCCCAGCGTCTGAGTGACTTTGTTACCACGGATTTGCCGTGCAAAATAGACATGGCTGGTATGGTAGTGGCAAGGCCTGAAATTGGTTTCGTTTTCTTGATTGTTTTAATTTAATTTGATAGGCTTTTCTTAATAATTGTGCAATGTAAATCAGCATTATGAACCTGTGATTATTTTGTTTTTCATTTTTCTCTTTGCATTTTTATTGCAGTACTGCAATAGCTATCCTGTTTTGATCGCATGACTAGTGCAAGAGCATCCTAGATGACAAAGTGGACTAATGAATATACTTCAATCTGAATCGAGGTACTAATGTCTAGTTTATATCAATGCAAAGATGATCTCTAAATGCTTGCAAAATTTAAATTTAATAAACTAGTTATCGTATAGCACGTCAAGATGGTCGCAGCGGAAGTGATGCTGCGGACTTTAAATTAAAAATGTACAACTAGAAAACTGCATTTGTTTCCAGCATTTGTTTGAGCGGCAACTATGATTAAGCTGCTTGTAATTGTGTAGTGGTTTCAGAAAACAATGTAAGCCAATTCTATGGTGTGATCTAGTAATTCAATAATATAACACGACATAATAATAACTAGCTTGTGCACATGAACACCCTAGGGAACAAAAATCGGGTTAGGGCTTTGAGGGTTTTTAGCAGGGTGCTATTATAAAAGATTGTAATTACACATAAACCATTAAAAAGTTTGAGCGATCACAGGTACCATCGGTCGGAACTTTTCTGCCCTCTACGTCATTCCGTTCACTTTTGTCCCTAACGGTGTCAAACTGCGCTGCGATGAAAAAAATCTAGAATGCCCTTATGTTTGAATGGCATGTTAAATTTCCTTGCTCCTCTAGTGCCACTGAAAGTTCTCCACACACACAGGCCAGCAGCGCATGCACAAGCTGGTTCCAGACTACTGCGTGTCCACACCACCACCATCGGACATGTATAGGGACAGTTAACCCATGTGCACCAGCGCGAAGGTTACGGATAATGAAATCGTCATTATCCGCTCCACCGGCTTGGCAAGCAATCCGATAATCCTCCGGCCATAGTCCGGGGTTCGTTTCCTCATAGTATTTCGGGATGTTGGTCGGTGGTCGGTACCGTGGTGGGAAGACGGTGTTGAGGATGTATCGGCCGAAGGCCTTAGGTCTCGGCAAGCCGGGGCCCGGGCTTTGGTCCTCGCCACTGTCATAGTGTCCACCACGTCGAGGGTGGTAGCCGTGGCTAGCCCCCTCCCTCGCATCGCCGCGGGCACATCTGCGGGCGTCGAGGGTGTTGCGCGCGTCACGGTGGTGGCCGAGACGCTCATGCACCGGAACCGCGGTGCGTGGCCTGCCGCCTTGCGACGCCTGGTGGACTGACACGTCCTTATCGGGTCGCTCTGAGGGCGTGCGCTGGCTGGCGTCGAGCTCGCGTCGTTGGGACAGCGAGCTCTCGGCCTACTACGCCGCCACACACTCGAGTAGCATACGAATCTCACGATGGGCCTGACGATTCTCGAGCGTCGCGGGCCCCGGAAACCCCCGGAGCAAGGCCGCCGCAGCAGCGATGTTATGGCTTGCCCGTGCGAAGTGTGGGAGTGCTTCATCGTCCTCGATGATCCTCCGGTTTACGTCGCGGGCCATGGCGCGTGCACGCCCACCGTCTCCGTGGCGCTCGATCTCTTGATCGAGCTCCGCGCGTTCCTGCTCGAGCTGGAGTCGCGCTTCCTCGAGCTCTTGGTGTCGGGCATTCAGCTGCTCCACCTGTAGGCGAGGTGGGGCCCCTGCATCCCCCTCGGTCTCGTCGTCGAGGTCGTTCATTGGGGTAGCCTCTTCCTCGTGGATGCTTTTGACTTGTCCCTTGGGGGTACCTGCCATGAAACATTCACGAGAGGGGTGATGGCTCTCCCTGTTGGAGTCAGAGCTAGAGGGCGACTCCGATTCTTCTGCGAGGAGGTCGTGGAAAGACTCCATGACATATTTGATCATCCCCACAAACTCGTCATTCGTAGGGAATGGAGGAGTGCGTTGTGCCACAAGGTGGTCAACGATCTCTGCGGCATTGCGCAGACCGAGCGGGAGCGGCGTCGGGGCGCTTCGGATGAGGTATTCCAGAGAGAGCGGCTCTCCTCCAGCAAGCTGTGCCATGACGTTGGCGAACGAGAAGGTGAGGTGGCGCAGGTCCTCCCGGGATGGTTAGGGTCCTAGGAAGGCGCCGAGATGGCGCTCTAACCTCCCATAGTTGAAGCCGAGGAGCTGGTCGCTCCCGGGGGCATGGGCCTCCGGTGCGTGTAGCTGCAGCTCCTCAAGCGCCTCAGCGATCACGTCGAGGTCGGTGGAGCGGAGAGGTTGGACGATGGCGAGAGCCTGCGCCAAGTCTCCCTCCGTCGTGACGATGAAGTCTAGGTCCCCGAAGCGCATGTGCGCACCTAGGACCCAGCCAACGTTGTGACTAGCCATCCAAAGCCTAGCGTGGATGTCGAGGCGCGCAAAAGGCCCCTACCTAGCGCGCCAACTGTCGGTGTTTCGAGTTACCACCAACGAGTAAATTTCTAGTATTGCGTGTCTAGCTCGGATGATGTGCTTAGAGGACACGAGGTTTATATTGGTTCGGGCAGAATGTTCCTACATCCAGTTCATCGCTGCTGCTCGTGTTACTAGCACCAAAAGTTTGTAGTAGGGGTTACAAACGGGCGAGAGAGGGACATGTCCCAAGAATCTGGTGGAAAGAGTGAACAGGTGCCGTGAGCACGGTTGCTGCTTAGCTATGTGCTTGTGTTGTGTTCTTGTGTGTTTATCTGGCTTGAATCGGATCGGGGTAATTTGATCGGATGCCCCCCCTTCATGGGACGCCCTGCTTTCCCTTTTATAGGCCAAGAGAAAGCATGGGTTACAGCGGAGGCAAAGAGAAAAACGAGAGAGAGCCAAAGGCCTTCAGGTTCGCCAGTCCTTATCCTTCATGCGGGTCCCGCTGACCCTGTAGATGTCAACAGAAATGGCTCCACGTCGCGGCCCTGTCCATCACTAGCACCATGCGCAGGCGTCGTCTGCCGGTCACGGCGCTCCACTCCGTCTTGGCGGACGTCATGGTGAACTGACGCGCCTATCAGTGTTCATACGAGGGTTAGATAGAATAGCACCGGTACACCCGACGCTGTTCCTGATGTGAATCATCGGGTATGGCCCGTCATGGCCACGGGTTACATCAGGGCTTGCCGGTCTCCTCCCTGGTGTCAGAGCTTTGACCTAGGCCCATACACTTAGACCTAGAGTGGTTGGTGGCGGCATGGGTCTTCGTCGGGTGAGAGAATGCCTCGGGGTCGGGCGAGGCGGAGCCCTCCCCCAGAGGCCGGGTGAGGCAGAGCGCAAATCCAAGGGTCGGGCTAAGCGGAGCCCGCGGCCTTGGGGTCCAGCGAGGCGGAGCCCTCCCCCGAGGCCAGGCGAGGCAGAGCGCAAACCCAAGGGTTGGGGTGAGCCCGCGCCTTGGAGCCTGGCGGCGGAGCCCCTCCCAGGCGAGGGAGGCGAGCGCAAAACCCTAAGGGTTGGAGCCGCGGCCTTGGGGGCCCATGAGAGCCTTGGGGTCGAGGCAGGCAGAGCGCAAACCCAAGGGTTGGGCAAGGCGGAGCCTTGCATGACCTGGGGTGAGGCTTGGGCTCGGGCGAGGCGGAGCGCAACCCCAAGGGTCGATCGAGGCGAAGCGCCAACCCAAGGGTCGGGCAAGACAGAGCCCGCGGCCTTGGGGTTGGATGAGGTGGAGCCATCCCCCAGAGGTCGGGCGAGGCGGAGTGCAAACCGAAGGGTCGGGTGAGGCGGAGCCCGCGACCTTGGGGTCGGGCGAGGCGAAGCCCTCCCCCAGAGGCCGGGCGAGGTGGAGCGCAAACCCAAGGGTCGGGCAAGGTGGAGCCCATGGCCTTGGGGTCGGGCAAGGTGGAGTCCTTCCCCAGAGGTCGGTCGAGCCAGAGCCTGCGCACCTGGGGTTCGGTTGGAGCCGTAGTCGCGCTCTTGACCGTTCGGATGAATTAATATTGATGACCATTAGCCCCTCCTCTTCGGGTACCCTAGTATTGGTCCCCGACAACAGGCGCAAGAACTATCATAGGTAAGGAGGGATACGGAGCTGAAAATGCTCATACGACCCATTCTGGACCAGGAGTTCGAAGGCTGGCCGTCCGATGGGTTCATAGCCGCTTCGGGGCACCCTTAGAGCGAGGGGTGGAAAGGGATGGCCCACTAGCGGCCAGTACCCGGGCGCACGAGCGTCGCGGGCATCCCGTCCCACGTTCGAGTCTTGGTCGGTTCCCAGTCCATGGTTTTTCCTCAAAGAAAGGCAATGAGCTCTTGGGACCGGCCGAACGGACCCAAGAACTATATGGATTGGCCGCCAAGAGTCTGGAGTCGGTCACCAGCTGACCCATGCCAGACCCCCATGAACAAGAAGCCAAGGCCCCACTCAGACTAGCCCATTAATAGGTCACCGAGCACCATGTTTCATCCATCGAGGAAAAACGTGGCACGGCTCAGCCCCTCCATTTTATCGAAAAAATGCTTGAGGGATGACGATCACAAAGACGAGCCGACCCTTGACCGGAACCCTGCAACGCGTGGGGGCTAGAGGGAAGTTGGACTCGCAAGGAGACCGAATGCGCTCTTGCGGGATGATGGCTCGGATTCTAGGGAGTGGTACGTACAAAAACTAAGAATAACGTTTCTGA